GTGTATAAAGCAAGATTTATCCTGGACAATAAATCAATGTATTTATTATATAACACACTTATGTTGCATACTTAAGTTATTGTGCTGAAATTTGGGGGAATACATATAAATCTAATTTACAATCCATATGTACAATGCAGAAAAAAGTAATTAGACTAATAGAACAAGTGGGGTATTTGGAGCATACAAATCCTTTATTTTTTAAATTAAAGATGCTTAAGTTCAATGATTTGGTTAAATGTTAAACAGCACAAATCATGTTTAAAGCTATGGGAATAAAATACTTTCGAAATGTATACAAAAGTTTTTTGAAGAACGTCAAGGGGGTATAATCTGAGAGAAGAACTAAATTTTAGGAGGTTGAAAACAAGAACAACTTGAAGTTGTCAGTTTGACAGTTTATGTATGTCTGTATGTGATGTAAAACAATGGAACAGTGTATATCAGACTCTAAAACAACGTCAGGATATTAGTCAATAAAAAAACGGTATATATATACTATATATACATACTATATATATGAAGGAACTCATCGGCATATTGCAGTGGTCAACACAAGTTGAATCTGGAATCTTGGGTATCTCCAATTGTCTCATTCATTGAACTAGCTTGAGGGCTTATACCACCAAGATAACAGAGCGCCAATTGATTTCGGGCTCCTCTGACCAGTACTTCTCCGCAGACGTTCTGGTACCCTTCGGCTAACTAGCCAATGATTAATTAAGTCAGTTAAATTAAAAACAATGGCCCTTACAGGATCTTCAGCGGAAAGCGTTTCACGAAACTTTTTTAATGACTCCTGGTTATGTGCTCGCCTTGGGCACATCCTCCAGATGCACAATTTTGTAGAGACAAAGAGATCTCTAGAAACATTAATGCATATGAATAAAAGACAATCTCTTAATGTTAGAACTGAGGCAGATGTATCTTTGAATAATATGCCATAATGTTCCTCATATGCTGTTTATTCCAATCAACTAATTTAATCCGTGTGTTGTTTTAACCCTTATAACAGAGTAAAATGATCTGTATTTGTCTGAAATGTATGATGCCTGGTATTGAACGAAAGCTAGTGACATTTGCAATACGTTGGTGTAAATGAAAAACTAGTAGTCCAAAAAGTATTCTTCTTGTAACATTTGATGTAAGATAGTTTCAATCTTGCAAAAGTTCTACCTCGTGAAATCTACATGCAGTCTGTTAATTATTGACAGTTTTTACGTCGGTATGGGGTGTGGCCCCGCCCTTCATGGCAGATGCTCATTGGCAGACAGTGCTATGGGGACGAACCAGACCAGGTCACTTAAAACACCCTGCGACAAAGAAACTTTGCTTTTTGCATCAGCTAGCTTGCGCATGCTTTTGCTCTCAGCCCCCTTTTGCCTGCCCGGACACCGCGCCGCCACGCGATTGGGTCACCACGAAGTTCCACGCAAACCTCGTAAGTTTCGAGACTCACGAGGTCAAGTCATATCTCTCTGTCCCAGAAACCTCAGTCCCAAATGAGAGGGTTTTTTTCTGTTGCTGGGGACATTGTAAATACCCAGAGATACCAGCTTTTACCAGATTATATTTATATGATAATTTTCCTTAAAACCCATCTCTATCTAAGTGAGTGAGTGATTAAATGTTGAATGTGATGAGTTTTCAACAATACTAAATTGAAACTTTATTTTTTTACATGGTTTAATAATTTTTTGTTATTAAAATTGAAGTTCCTGTTTCAAAGCTTACAGATAGATGGCTAATTTGTGTGTCATTGACACTTTTTGCACTTTTTTTGGAGTATTTTCATAAGTTTTGTTTTTTCCTGGAAATGATTCAATAAATAACGTACTGTGACATTCATACCGAGGTATTACCGTACCGTGAAATTCTGATACCGATACATATATATATAACCTTAGAATTATAAGGTTCTGTCTGCGTTCTGAATGATTTTGAGCTTCAAAGTTTTTGCATTTTGTATAGCAAACAACATGTGTGTAGCAGATCTTTTTCATACATTAACATGACATAGACCCTAAGGGTTCTCTAAATGTAAATTATCAGAGTTCTCTTACACTTGCAAATTGGAGTAAATAAAACACGGTAAATGCAGATAGAACCTTCTCATTCTGAAAAGTCATTTTCTGCTTGGAATTATAAGGTTCTATCTGGCAGATCATTGATTGAAGCATTACTTATCAAGAAATACAATAAAAATATATAGTTCAGTGTTGTAACAACATGTTGATGCTTGAGAAAGTTAAAATTTTGCTTTCTGTAACATTTATTTCATGTTTTAGGATAAATATTTTTTCTTTTAAAATTAAGCACACAAGGCTGTACTAATTTTTTTTCCAGTGCGGCTGTTAATTTTATCTAATTATTATGTTCATATTTATAAAATTTTATGCTTTAAAAAATTATTAAATTATATTTATTGAATTATATGCCCCATAAAATAAATTAAGTATTTGTCCTTCAAGGCTTAATATTAAACTTATAGACTTTAAAAGAAACAGACTATGAGCAAATTAGTTCAATAAACACTGAAAAGTGTTCATTGACTATATATACACAAATAAAAATATTTCACATTTAATATACGAATTTTTAAATATTCATATCTTTTTCAACAATATAAAATTGAGCATTTCATCTCAATGTTTGCGACACGTTGGCACAGTGGGTAGCATGTTTGCCTCACATCAAGAAGGTCGCTGGTTCGAGCCTTGGCTGGGTCTGTTGCCATTTTTGTGTGGAGTTTGCATGTTCTCCCCGTGTCTGCGTGGGTTTCCTCTGGGTGCTCTGGTTTCCCCCACAAGTCCAGAGACATGCGGTACAGGTGAATTGGATAAGCTAAAATTGGCCATAGTGTATGTGTGTGATTGAGTGTGTATAGTTGTTTCCCAGTGTTGGGTTGCAGCTGGAAGGGCATTCGCTGTGTAAAACATATACTGAATAAGTTGGCGGTTCATTCAGCTGTGGCGACCCAAGATTAACAAAGGGACTAATTCGAAAAGAAAATGAATGAATAAATCTCAGTGTCAAGAAATGTCAGAATAACTCAATTTTGACAAAAATGTCAGATAGAACCTTATAATTCTAAGGTGACGATATATATATATATATATATATATATATATATATATATATGAATAAAGGAATACAATGATGATGGTGATTGAAAAAGGATAAAAAGAGAAAGGTAAGATGACAATTTAATTAATGGCTATTTGCACTGCAGTACTAAGTTGTTGTTGTTGTTTTTTTCCTTTTTCTATTTGCAGTATGTATTTTGTTTTATTTTTTTCTTCTTTGGGTCTATGTTACAAAATGAAAAGGTACAAATAGAATCAAACATATTATTTGTCAAAGATGCCAAAAGGATAAAATATGTTTCATGTAAAAAGAAGAGATAAGTAAAAGAATAAATAAGTTTAAGTAATAGACGAATGATGTGTAATGAGGTGGGAGAATAATAAGCTTAGGCTTCTTCCTGCTCCATTTTCGACCATGTTTAAATGTATTTTTTTGTTAATGATATTTTATGTAGGATGTTTTTGTTCAAAAATAAATAAATCAAATCAAATGAATAATGTTACAAATAGTTTCCTAATCTAATAATACTAAATTCAAATGCCGACTTCTTGGTGTTATTTTGCAACTGTACATTTTATAAGGATTGTGTTTGATTAGTAAGTGTCACATACAGCATTATTATTCTATTTAATTTATTATGAATAATAATTAGATATAAATGTTTAATTGTTAATAAATGAAACGCCTTTTATAGAGAAAAATGTCAGAGAACTGAGCTGTAGAATGTGAACAGTATGAATGCTTTTTTGAATCAGCTGTCGCCTGGAAACAACCACAGTAAAACACTCACTATTTATGTCTTATTCTTCGGGACACACACAAAAAAAACATTCATTTGACATAAAAAAAAAATGTTCAGCACCAATGTAAACATCTGAAATCTATATTTGACAAATGCTGATTAGTACATACCAATTTCATCTAAAGACAGCAACACAAAGCAATATACTCCGTTTAAGTCTCATTTTCTTGGTTCAAGCGGAAATCTGGCTGATCTGTAATTTTTGTTTTTAGATGTCAGATGTCTCACCTTAAATGCAGACAACAGAAAACAGCCGTAGTCATCATCTAACCATATCTGTAGTAAATATACAGCTGACTGTGAGTTCTCTATGGGGAGTTCTGTGTAGGCGGAAGTAACAATACACTGCATGGAGTGAAACCAGACACTCTCACTCAGTACATTGGAGATTGTTTTAGTTATATCGTTTTATATATATTTTTAGTCATTTGTGATGCAGTGACTTAGTCAAATATTAATAGATCCACCACTTTTGACGCTCATAAATTATCATAAAATTCCTTGTGCTGCAGGTATTTGGAGGTTTGCTGAAGGTGTGGCTGTTGTGCAGCAAGGGATTTGCATTTTTAATAAACTGACAGTTCTTGTTTATTGAAAAGTAGTGGTGTAATGGATCTCAAATCTCATGGTTCGGATGACATTATGGTTTTTTTAGTCTCTGATCAAATGTCAAATTGACAATTTGTCATTTGCTTTCCCTTTTATTACAAAAACAGTCCTGCAAGAAACTTTTTAGTTTCATAAAATAAAATGAAGAACTAATCAGCTGAATAAAAATAAATAATAAAATATTCAGCGGTGTGAAAAAAATCAGTTACTTGTTTCTGATAAAGCTGAATGTAAATATCTAGCATTATCATTTGTACAATCTATAGTTATTTTTAGAGTGATTTTTCATAAATGATTGGGTCATTCACTATTAAAACTTAAAGGGCACCTATTGTAAAAAATCTTCTTTTCAAGCTGTTTGGACAGATCTGTGTGTTGGTATAGTGTATAGACCGTCATACTGGGGTGATATGAACACACCCAGTCCTTTTTTTTCAATTTAACTACAAAAAAAAGGGTCGGCCAATTGGAGCTGTTTTCAAATCGATCGCACCATTACGTAGGTGTGCGATTCCCCCCCGCCCACCGAATTGATTGACAGCTGCGCGTATTAACATATCCTGAGTTTGCCGTTTCCGCCATTATCAGCGTGTACGTCGAAGCGATGCCACCAAGAGAACACCCTTGTGCTATTTTAGGATGTAAGGCTCAGCACAAGGGCCTTCACCGTCTTCCTGCAAATGAGCAACAGAGGCTTAAGTGGCTGAGTTTTATCTTTGAAGACAAGGTGCCTGAAAATGTACCAAAACTGTTGTATGTTTGCGCTAACCACTTTAGCGTAGACTGCCTCGAGAACGCGGGACAATACAACTGCGGATTCGCGAGTAAATTGTTTTTGAAAACTGGATCAGTTCCTACAACACGTGATCCTGCCTCACTTCAAGTAAGTATTACATTTTATGTACTTCTAGCCTTAGCATTCTAATTATGATAAGCCGATGAATAGCATCTGCGGCTAAAGTAGCTTCGGATGTTTGTTTGCACGTGTTTACCTCTTATTGTGCTTTTCAAAAACAGTCTAAATACTCGAAGCTGCAAATGGTAGTGTGTACATGAAGGGGGTTTAGCCATTAGAAACAGAAACCGTAGAAAAATAGCAACATTGTAAAAAGCAGTACCACTGGCTACAGCTAAAGTTTGTTGTTGTTAAATGTTTGTTGTACTGTAATGGTAAGCCGAAATGAATAGCATCTAAAAGTTAAAAGCAGCCAAAGTTGCTTCGGATGTTTGTTTGCACGTGTTCACTGCTATTATGCTTTTCTATAACAATCTAAATAATCGAAGCTATAAGTGGTAACTGTTAGTGTGTACAAGAAGGGCTTTTAGCCATTAGAAACAGAAACCGTAGAAAAATATAAACATTGTAATAAAGCAGTGACCAGTACTGGCTACAACTAAAGTATGTTGTTTATGTGGGATGTTTGTTGTAATGTGTATACTGTAATGTTAAGCAGAAATGAATAGCATCTGCGGCTAAAGCTACTTCGGATGTTTGCGCGTTTACAGCTATTGTGCTTTTCTAAAACAGTCTAAATACTCGAGGCTTTAATTGTTAATGTGTCCATAAAGGGGTTTTAGCCATCAGAAACAGAAACGGTAGAAAAAATTAAACATTGTAATAAAGCATTACCACTGACTAAGTTACAGCTAAAGTTTGTTATGTATGTGGGATGTTTGTTGAAATTTTTTCACTGTACTTGCACGTGGTCTGCAGTTGTTTACAATAAGATCGGTATGTTTTAATCAAATAAAGGTCATTTTAAAAAATTTATGTTTTCTTACAAAGGCCACGACGTCGACAAAGAGCAACAAGGTGGATGTTTGTTGCCAGACAGAACCATTTCACACATCTTTACACAGTGTTGGTACCCAGTTGTCTTTTAGGACGCTTCAGGCTAAACGCAGGAGTACAAGTAAGTTAAAATTTCTCAGTTTATTTTAAGTTGCTGCATTAGAAACGTGTTTTATAATCTTCATAAACGTGCAATGAGATTAATCATAAAATTACACTATAGGTGTCCAGACAACAGTATCCAGTTTTGAACTGACTGTACCATCAGCGTCCTCTACTGCGTTTATGACTTCGACACCCCTCAAACCTTCACTAAAAAGACCTCGTCTGGAGCTGGAGGAGGAGGAGGAGGAGGAGGAGGAGGAAGAAGAAGAAGCCGAAGAGACTTTGACAGAGTCAAAAATTATAGCCCAAGACTCGGATGTGAGATTTGACCCTGCAGAGGAATGCACATCTGCAACTGAACCAACAGACTTGTCGTGAGTTTATGCATTATGTAAATTATTTGAAAGATTGTGTATTGTCATCATAACATTCATCATCATTTTTTTTTATTATGTACATGTGTATATTTATTTTTACAGAATCCAAGAATGCCCAGTTCATAACATTGCCAAGTTCATTGTCTATGAAACATGCCTCATGGAGCTCTTCAGTGACTGCCCAGTGTGTCAGAGGAGATGTGATGTAAAGTCACAAAGGCTTGGGACATTTCTGAGCGTACAGCAAGTCTGCCCACACTGCGAGTTTGTAAGAAAATGGAACAGTCAGCCAATTATTGGTAGTACTCCAGCTGGCAACCTGCATCTTTCTGCTGCTGTCTACTTGAGTGGTGCATAATTTTTTGTAGTTGAAAAGGTAATAATCTATCAAAATTTATCACATTTCTTTTAGAAACATAATATAAATTTTGTCACAGGGTGCATGCACATTGTACTAAAAATTCTCCTCTCTGTTGTCAGGTATTTGCTGCCATGAAACTACACATTTTTAAATATGATTCATTTCGTCGTCATGCAAGACTTTGCATTGAACCTGCTATTGTCCACAAGTGGAGAAATTGGCAGAGTGAAATGCTAGAACAGCTCAGTCGAAGAGAGAATATGATTGTTGGAGGAGATAAGAGGGCTGACTCCCAGGTATTTAGTCAAAAGATTTAATTTCTAATTCAATACAGTCTAATAAAAAAAATAAATTTGAAATACATTACAATTATTCCAAAAATGTGTTTAAAATAATTATGTACGGTTTGTTCTTGAAGGTCACTCGGCCAAGTATGGGAGTTATACAATGATGGACCTTGCAACTAACACAGTGGTCGACCTACAGTTAGTCCAGGTAATACAGAAAAGTGTTATGTGAACTAGCATAATATTTTGGACGGAAAATGTGTGATTTTTATATATATTTTTTTACCTTATTTAAAATTTTATAGAGTAATGAGGTGGGCGGCAGTTACCATATGGAAAAAGAAGGCCTAAAGAGAAGCCTTGACCTGTTGGATGCCCGCGGTGTTCGTCTGGAATGCATCATCACAGACCGACATCCTCAAATACAGAAATATCTCAGGGATCGAAATGTCACTCAGTTTTACGATGTGTGGCATATCGAGAAAGGTATGTAATTTAGCAGTTATTAATTTACTTAAGATTAAATTGCTATTTACAGTTCTTACATGTTTATTATTATTTTTGTGTTGATGTCTTTTTTTTTCTTTAATTTCCAGGAATTTCCAAAAAAACTGGACCAGATATGCCAGATAAAGGGGTGTGAGAAGTTGCGTAAATGGTTGCGTAGCATCAAAAACCACATCTACTGGACTGCTGCATCATCCACAACAGGTCCTGAAAGAGTGGCAAAGTGGACCTCTATCATAAACCATGTACATGAAGACCCCAATTTTCCGGCTTATCTGCATCCGCAACGGATAAGCAGAGACGAGAACAAATGGCTGTCGGCTGGTAAGTTGTATACAGACAAATAAAATATTCTTTGCGATTAAAACTAATGCAAAACAGAGCTTGTTTCTTTGTTCAGATTTGTTTTTGATTCAGACTCTAATACCTTAAATTTTTGCTTGTTTAGCAACGATGCCATTCTACAAGCTGGAGAAAGTTCTCGCTAACAAGAGAATATTGAAGGATGTGGCCAAGCTAAGTCCTCACCACCAGACGTCAACTGTTGAAGCTTTCCACAGCGTCCTACTGCGGTTTGCACCCAAAAATGTGGTATTCCCATTTCTGGGGATGCTATGCAGGTAAAGCCAATGATCAGAAATTAATATTTACAATACCATACAGTCTTGTCATGGTACGTCATTTACATTTTTCTTTTTGTTAGGTTGTACTTGGCTGCACTGCATTACAATGAAAATGCCGGGCGTCCCCAGGCCACATCAGCAACTGGTAAACCTATTTACAAGCTTGCCTTTCCAAAGGCAAAGAAAGGAGAGTATAGGGTCCGAAAAGTGAAGACGCAGCAAACTTTCGGTATGTATATAAATGTTTATAGTATTTTTAATAATTCAACAAATAAAAAAATAATTGCACTTTACATTCACAATGACAACTCACTACTCAAAATACAAAATTAAGTTACTAAAGAGATATCTGTTATATTGCACAGGTTATGTAGAAGAGCTGCTGGACCTCATCTTCAACCAAGTGTTTGTGGACCCATCACCCTATGTTGATGAAGTGTTGGGAATTCACATACCACCTGCTCTATCATCAGCCTGCGATCGACCTGAGATGGAGGAGGCTATCTCCAGCAGGGTGACCCGCTTCAATCAATAGCTATCCTAAAACCCACATAGCTGCCCTGCTCTTCAGGAAACTGTCTCCGAATCTTCAGCACCACACAGGCAGGAATCACAACACGGACTCTCCGCCCGAGGAAACCCCAACACCAGCTCGCAAAGCTCCGATAAGCCAAAAAGCGGCACTGTCTAACAGAGACATAATAATGAAACATTGTTTTAGAAATTGCACTACAATTTGAACTTGGGAGTTATCACATATACATTTTTATTTTTGATAAAGTAACTAGCTTTAACAAAATTTCAGAAGTCATATTTTGTTTATTCAACTGCCAATGTTTGATATGTTTGTATGTGTTTGTAGATATACTGTACTTTCTAATGTTCATGGACAATTGTATTTCATTCAACAAAGTGACAACTTGAAGTTTATATTTTATATTTGCACAAGGATACATTTTATATTTGCCATCACATTTTAATTTATACTTCAATATAAAGTTTTTATATGACTAAGGAATTGAAGCATCTTTTCTGAAGGGTTGATGCTTCTATGCCATACTGATTTTTATATATTTTACAAGTTTATATATTAATGTTTAGTGAAATTAAAATTATTTTTCAATAAAAAGTACATGAATTACTCAGCCTTTTATGAAGTCATTCAAATTGTCATCTCAGAAATAGCAGCAATAAAAAAGGTACGTATTTCATTTTTATTGACATTGAGGTAAAGTTGGCTTTATATTGAGATATTCGGACATTCTCCTTAATAGTATCATTTCTGTAAAGTATTCTTTGCAAATTCAAACTAGGGAAATCGTATTAGCAGCAAATGACAAAGTACAACATTGTTTACAGCCAAGTAGATAGTGTTAATGTTGTTTACAAGTCATACTTGCATGCTAAATCCGATCGATTGTTTAAACTACCATGGTAAACAATACAGGGACTTCTGAATGTGCGGATATAAAACCAACTTTATCGCTATTTTATTGACTACACTGCGTTAATGTGCTTAAAAAAAAAGCGAGCATGCAGATCATGAACAAGGTAACCTGCTATTCTTTCTATTTATTTAAACTCACTTTTGCACTCCACGAAGTCGCAGGGGACCATAGTCTGCTTTGTATATATTGATGCATTTTGCAAGGAATAAATATTGAAGCAAACGGGATCCATTCCTGGATGCTCCGTCATGCACGAGGGTTGCAATTCCAGTTGATCCATTCGTCTTCTAACCTTATTACACGACACAGTTATGCTGTTTATTATCTCATTCGATGTCTTTAGAGCAGCAACGTAAACTGGAAATTACCTGCGGTATCTCCCTGCAGCATACATTTTCAGCCTCAGTTGGCATTTTTTCACAATTGCCACACAAGCACCTGCCAATATTTGTCAACGTCAATATTCATGAATTACGAATAAATCATACCAATGCAAAATTTATCTTTGTGGATATCTTTATGTATTGTCTGTTTGACGTAACGCATGATGTTCGCGAACTTTATCAAACAAATTACGGATGGCGCATGCATAGTTACATAGCGGCTGAAAAAGTATACGACATAAAATATTTTGTATGTACCACTCTGACACATTCTGGCACATTCGGATTAGATTCCTCAACAGTCGACTCTGCTTGATCTGTGTCCGAGTCTGTGTCATATATGTAGGGTTGAATTGTGTTCCTCTCACTCATGATGACTCTTACTGTCTGCCTCTGTGACGCGGTGCACAAAGCAGACGCGCTCTTGGCTCCGCCCCCTTGTTACGTTGGGCGGGCAGTCAAAACTCATTATCATGTTAAACAACACACCCCAAAACAGCAACCCGTGTACACGCCTCTAAATTTACACTTTTTAAACACAGCATAATAACCATATCTGAATTGCGTTTTGATCTGAACCTACATTGGCACACTCAGAAGAACCATAATATTACTATTAAATCTCAAAAAAGGGCTAAAATATGTGCCCTTTAATGTTTCATTGCAAGATGGATAATTTTGAAAGAATAATTTAGTGGCATGTTTTTGATGGCTGGTTGTCGCCACCTTTTGGCTAAGAAATGTAATTGCTGCCTTGAACTTTCATTTTTAAACATGAGATTTTAAATGTGCAGTAGGTAATGTGCCAAAATGCTAACCGGTTAGCATAGTATTATCTTTGAAACACAGTCCTTCCCCTGTCATCCAGAGGCACGCCTCCTGAACATACCTGGCAACATTGGTATGTGTAAATAAGGGATATGCCCACTATAATAAGGGATTCCCCCGACCCCCTTTAAAAAAAACTAAAACAAATTACTATATATGCACATTTGGAGCTGTTTCACTGTAAATAAACAGTTAAATGGTCAGTAATATGTTTTATTATTTATTATTATTATTATTATTACTAATATATACAAAAGAAAAAATAAATAGTATACATCATCAGCAAATAAATTAGCAAACAGTTCAGCTTTTTAAAATTAATAGCTATTATAATGAAATAGAATCAAATCGCATTAATGAAATGAAATTAAATGAAAGCATTCGATTGAGCATTCGACTGTTTATGCTCATTTAGTATGAAATTACTTGTGTTTGAAAAAAAAAAAAAAACTCACCAAGATCAACATCTTTAGATATGAATTGTATTAATTATGTGTATATGTCTGTTTAAACACGCACCTAAAACCCAGACTTTTGCTCCCCTTCAAATCCCAAGTCGGAATCCGTTTGGGAAACAGCGTGATTCATATGCGCGCCGCTTAGACAACATGTCCGCGTCGCTCTCATATGAGTTTCATGCAAGCCACGTGCCTCCATTAGAAATTACAAACTTACACTTATCGATAAGCCCCAAGATCAAGTCTCCTACTGGACAATCTGCAACAGGTTTCAGACTAAGGCTGCATGAGTAAGACAAAAATCATAACTGTACTTTAGAAAATCACGGCTTTAAATGTAACTGTGGCATCTGTGATTAAAACTTAACCAGGAGTTTACATAAGTGAGACAGTGCTATAAAAGCAAACATGTTTTTATGACAATATTGTAATATGTATTACCTGTAGATGTGTCTTTCCCCATGTTTGTAACTTTCACAAGATGACTATCATAACAGCATTCATGTTATTATTCTTTGATGAACCATGTTTCTTCTAAAACACAATAAACAATTTAAACGCAGTTGATCGGTTGTTAGTTTAGAGCAAATTTGCACACTTGTTTGTTTATTCTCTTGCCCTCCGCCCATATAAATATTTGGTACATGGTTTCCGATATATTCATTCTTCCATGGCTGGGTGCCACACCAAAATTGATCCCGCCACGGCTACATTACAACTTCTCATTCAAAACATTGTTGTGTTTTTATTTTTATTTTTATTGAATAGCGATAATAAAAATGATGATAATCGCACCAAAACGTATTAAAAGGGAAGTGAATTATAACAGAGCAAACTTTTCTGTAATCGTAGTAGGGCTGTTGTTTGACCCTTTAAGGTTACGTGTTGACTGACTGACTGACTGACTGGCCGACTGACAGGTGCCTGATGCTTGAGGTCAGCAAACACGACGTATAGCCGGTTCACTTTACTTCAGGACGCATTAATGTCGCTCTGTAGGTCTATTAGAGACATTCGTAAGTATTCCTAGCAAATCTAATAAATGTTGGAGACATACTTGTTACATAAACGCACTAAATCACACTTCAGCAGCTTTTATTTGAGAGCGAAAGATCTGCGCTCGAGGGCGTGCAAGAAGTTTTATGCACGAGCAGAAGAAATCGTCGCGCAAGCTAAGAGATTTGCATGCTCGTAGGCTATTACATAAATGCAATCTCGAATCGTAATACTGCACTCACGACATTTGTCATTGAAATAACGCCACAGGTTGTTGGTAGATCTAAGTAAAAAAGGCCTGCCGCCACAGCTGGAAAAAATCCCAAGGAAACACTGTTGGTATATTTAACTTCTAATTGTTAGCAATAAGAACAGATGTAATTTCTGATAGTATAACAGTATAAAGCACTTCAGTCAATTCAAATTTAGACATCGATATAAGCAAATGTGTTAATTAGATGAAGAAACATAAACTGAAGTATTTTTAATATTTGCAGATCTGCTTCTCCATTGTAGTGAAGCTCCTCCCCTTTCTGTGAAGCTCCTCCCCATCAGTCCTGCTATAAACACTGCAATATTTCCATCAGTCTACAAGACGAGCAGCAGACCATCAGGTAGGCGTGAAATCTGCAAAGATGAAGGAAGTTGAGAACATGAGTGATCCAAAACCCTGCACAACTGAAGATGAAGAGACTGAAAAAGAAACAGGTTGGTGTTCAATCTTGACTTTTCAATGATAAAGATGAAGATAAAATAATACTGAGCAGCTTTAAACAGCTCATTTGCTTTATCGTGTGTGATAGGGGAAAAAAACTAACAAACTTAAGGGACAAACTGAGAAATAAATGCAGAAACTGGCACACAGTTGTCTATTTTATGTTTAAAAAAGGATTATTAAACATTTAATATAATAAGACCAAACTTTATATGATCTGATTTAATTTAAATTTATTTGATATTTTATTTAAAACAATTCTGAAATCTTAAGTCTGAAGTCCTTTACTGCATTTTCTAAAACCTTGATGTATGCTTCTGCTCCTGGAAGTAGGACGGTGGCCAGGAAGTGCAAAACAACAATACAAAGTTTGAAACACTTTTACAAGGCTCAAGACGAATGTACATTTTGAAAAACATTTTTACCCATCATCAGACACAATTACATAGGAAAAACAGTTTTACAAAGGTAAAAACAACTTTACATTTTAGAAAAATAAATTAACAACTTTTACAAGTCCCGAAACAAATTTACAATTACAGATTCCTTAAGGAATAGGAATGTACCACACACCGGTAGTGACGTGGGGGAAAGTTGTTGTTGTTGCTGGTGAGTGCGGTAAATTCGCAATGTGGAGTACATGGTGTAAACAAAGTTTTTGGTGACCGAACATGGACTGCGGTCGAGTGTTGTTTTGCCCGTTTTGTGGCAAACACATGAGCAGCTTAACACGGTTTTGCTTTGCGTGTGGTCGTTGTTTAGAGTTTATAGAGTTTATAAAGATGTTTAGAGTTTATAAAACATACTGCATCAATGTGTTCAATATTTATTTACATCCACTCGTACGCTGTGAGAGACTCGGAACAAGCAGAATTCCTTTATTGAGACGTGTTGGTTAATCTGCAGTCATACAGCGTCTTCAAGGTGTCCAATGTGTCTGCAAGAGCCTACTAGAGGTCCGCAGTCTGCAAGTTCTTTCACAAGTCTCTCACAAATCTCACACAAGTCTGAATTAGTCTGAATTAAGACAAAGATTTCATGGCTATATTGTGTTCTTAGGAGGAGGGGCTATGGCTAAACAAAGCATGCAAATTAAGGGTTGTGGTCGGCAGGGTAAACTGCTTCTCAGGTCTAATCTCATCATGTTCTGGAGACAGAAACCGCCTGACCATTTGATCGAAAAGAGAAAACAATAGACACCCCATGCTGTGAAACTGACAATTTGCATTACTTTGGCTTAGCCTGTAATCAGAAAGATAAAGGTTAAATGTCCCTCCTAGCTGGGATGTTAATGAAATTATATAATTAAAAACCAGAGAATATAACTTTTCAGTTATACGTAGATTATTGTTCATTTGGAATTAGTTGATAGAAATTTATATTTCCACAGCTGTAATCATGGATATGATGTCAAATCTACTTGGTGTAAACCTCTGCTTGAGGACTCTTAACAGTAAATTGAATAAAGCCTGTGTTACGGTTTAACTGGTGTCTATGTTAACTGAGGCCCCTTTTCAGATGTAAACTTTTCACGTTTGCAGATTGGCAGATTCGTCACTTTTTCACAGCAACAAAACATGCCCATACCAAATAAAGATTCTTATTACTTGATGTCAGTGTAAACATTATTGATTTAATATTTGTGTGGCAGAACAGTATAAACCAAAATTAATGCAAAGAAATTATTATATTTGACATGTCATCAACGGGATTCGAACCCAAGTCAAAAGGTTCTGCACAAGTATCAACCGACTTATCCAACTGAGCTGCTTTAATTGTTTCCATGTACTTGCATTTACTTGTTTCTATGCACTCTCACGCTGATATTTTCTCAGAATAGCTCTTACATGTTTTATCACAGTTGGTCAAACCATGATTTTTTTTTTTTTGTAGACTCGTGGAAACCTGTCTACAAAGTCACACACAAACTAGATATTATTGATATTTTCCAGTGTGTGTGTTACATTCCAGGTCACTACCGGTGTGTGGTACATTCTACGTCACTTCTGGTGTGTGGTACATTCCCTTTCCTTAAGGAATCTGTAATTGTAAATTTGTTTCGTGGCTTGTAAAAGTGTTTTCCGTCTTGGTAATTTGTTTACTAAAATGTAAATTTGTTTTGTCCTTGGTAAAATAGTTTTTTCCTATGTAATTGTGTCTGATGATAAGTAAAAATGTTTTTCAAAATGTAAAAGTGTCTCGAGCTTTGTAAAAGTGTTTCAAACTTTGTAATGTTGTTTTGCACTTCCTGGCCACCGTAAAGTAGCCACCAGAAGATGAGTCATACAAGGCAAAATCTAACAATTGTCCAACTACACTCAACTTCCAGCTGCTGACTGAGGTGCAGGAAGCCAGGGAAACGTGCAAATGGAGAACATACACACATGAACACACACATAAACACTGCTGGCAAGAAGCACACTTGCTGGAATGGGGACAGAAAGCTGCCTTGCTTTGGGTTCCTCCTGGGATATTCTGCGTGAGGGATCAGCTCCTGTAAACTCTTCTCTCTCTAAGTGTCTTCTATATATGAGCAGCTGTGTTTCATTCTGCGTCTTAGGTTCTATGCATCTCATCACACATGCGAACTCACAGGGAATGCTAAAGCTGAGCTTAATGTACACGTAGAGTTTTTTTTTTTATAACAGCTTTAAAATGGATCCATTCTTTCATGTCGTTGATGCCAAATTCTGACCCTCTGAATGTCATAGCAGAAATCAAGACTTGTCAGACCAGGCAACGTTTTTACAATCCTCTGTTGTCCAGTTTTGGTGAGCCTGTGTGAATTGTAGCCTCAGTTTCCTGTTCTTACTGACAGGAGTGGCACCCGGGGTGGTCTTCTGCTACTGTCGCCCATTCACCTCAAGGTTGGATGTGTATGCAGTAGGGCTACTCAATTTTGGGAAAAATCATAATTACGATTATTTTGGTCCTAATTGTAATCACGATTATTTAAAACGATTATCAGTTGAAGTCAAAATTATTAGCGCTCCTGAGAATTTTCTTTTTTAAATAAATATTTCCCAAATTATGTTTAACAGAGCAGGGAATTTTAACAGTATTTCCGGCTTATTTGTTTTATTTCAGCTAGAATAAAAGCAGGTTTAATTATTTTGAAACCTATTTTAAGGTCCATATTATTAGCCCCCTTAAGCAATATATTTTTTGATTGTCTTCAGAAGAAACTACTGTTATACAATGACTTGCCTAATTACTCTAATTAAGCATTTGAATTGCACTTTAATCTGAATGCTTGTATTTTGAAAAAATATCTAGAAAAATATTATGTGCTGTCATCATAACAAAGATAAAAGAAATCTGTAATTAGAAATGAGATATCAAAACTATTATGTTCAGAAATAAGTAAAATAAAATAACTTCTTTCCATTAAACAGAAATTGAGAAGGAAAAGGGTTGCTAATATTCAGTAGGGCTAATAATTCTGACTTCAACTGCATATATACAGTTACTTTCCACCCTGCAAATGAAAGAGAAATAAATACAATAGAATAAAATTATGAAACAGCCTGTGCTTTAAGCATCTTCATTGTAAGAAAAACACTACAAAAATCCTTCAGTCAAGAGCAGTGAGGGATTTTCTCGTTTTGTTTGATTAATGATAAAAACAGGCGGCAGCAGGAATAGTGCACTGTCTCTTTAATGGTTTCTCTTTCACATGGCTTTTGATCCTCAACTCGTTTGTTTATTGCACAAATGAGGGTTAATATAAATAATCACTAAACACCACGTTTGGACACCTATTTGACCATTAAAGCGCTCCCGTTAAGATGACTTTAGATGTCTGCGCTCCTCTGCTTGTCTCAGTGTGCGAATGAGACAGAATGCTGACCGGCCGCATGCTTCTGGCTGTGTGTGCGGCACATAAACACGCGGTCTTTCGCGCTTTTAAGAGCAACAAATGTGTACAGCTGGAAAGAGGGCAGTATATGATGCAATAATCGTTTATCTCGATTAATGCTTTTTCATAATCGTTTGAAGCCGAAATCGAAATCAGGTTTTCGAATAATTGCACAGCCCTAGTATGCAGAGATGCTCTTCTTGACAGTCAAGGAAAAAGAAACTTGTAAGAAACCAGGCTCAGTTGGACATGACCATCTCTCTTCAGGCCAAACTCATGCAGAGCTGTAGTCTAGACCCTGGAGGTTGAGCATCTGCTCAGGATACGGCCTGGTCCAGGAATCTGGAAACTTCTAGTAGTCCTCTATGGTTACCATCATCATGTCTTGGGCTGGCTCTTAGAGAATTGAAGATAAAATCGAGTCCATTGCATATTAAGAGATGTCATGGGGAAACACAGCCCTGATCCTAATACATTAAAACTTGATACTGATTTTGAAAGAGAGATTTATAAAAAAAAAATGCATCATGTGTAGCCAATGCCTCCACTGTATTTTCACTTCACAATTTGCTCAGATTTGTCATGACTTACTACGATTTTTTTTAACTTTCATTTCAGACTTTATTGAAGACGATAAGAGTGAGGATGACAAACCTGTAAACGCTGACAAAATGCCCCATTTACTGACTGAAGGTACTTTTTTAATTAAAAGAAAAGACAAGAATTGTTTCACCTGCAGTCAGTGTGGAAAGAGTTTGGGACGTAAAAGTTCTCTTGAAATTCACATGAGGATCCACACTGGAGAGAAACCATACACATGTGCTATGTGTGGGAAGAGTTTTAGACAATCATCTTCCCTTACTCAACACATGATTATTCACACTGGAGAGAGACCGTACACATGTACTCAGTGTGGGAAGAGTTTTAGACAATCATCAAACCTTACTCTACACATGACTATTCACACTGGAGAGAGACCGTACACATGTACTCAGTGTGGGAAGAGTTTCATAAACTCATCATACCTTAATAATCACAGGTTGATCCACACTGGAGAGAGATCACACAAATGTGATCAATGCGGTAAATCATTTTTGAGAGCTGCATATCTGAAGGCTCATCTTAGAGTTCATACGAAGGAGAAGCCTTATTCATGTTCTGTGTGTGGAAAGAGTTTTTCAAGGCAGTCATATTTAAGAGGACATCAGAAGATTCACACTGGTGTGAAAGAGTATATGTGCTTTGAGTGTGAGAAGACTTTTATTAGTGCTGAACACTTGAAAAGGCACCAGAGGATTCACACTGGAGAGAAACCTTACAAGTGTTCACACTGCGACAAGAGATTCAATCGATTAGAAAGTCTGAAAATACATGAGACGATTCACACTGGAGAGAAATCTTACAAGTGTTCACTCTGCGACAAGAGATTCAATAAGTTATCAATTCTGAAAATACATGAGAGGATTCACACCGGAGAGAAACCATACACATGTACTCAGTGTGGGAAGAGTTTTAGACAATCATCAAACCTTACTCTACACATGACTATTCACACTGGAGAGAGACCGTACACATGTACTCGGTGTGGGATAAGTTTTAGACAATCATCAAACCTTAAGAAACACATGTTGATCCACAGTGGAGAGAAAACACACAAATGTGATCAATGCGGTAAAACATTTTTGACAGCTGCATATGTGAAGATCCATCTTCGAGTTCATACGAAGGAGAAGCCTTATTCATGTTCTGTGTGTGGAAAGAGTTTTTCAACAGAGTTAAGTTTAAGAGGACATCAGAAGATCCACATTGATGTGAAGGAGTATATGTGCTTTGAGTGTGATAAAACTTTTCTTAGAGCTCATCAATTGAAAAGGCACCAGATGATTCACACAGGAGAGAAACCTTACAAGTGTTCACACTGCGAAAAGAGATTCAATCGATTAGAAAGTCAGAAATCACATGAGATGATTCACACTGGAGAGAAACTGTTCAAGTGTTCACACTGCGACAAGAGATTCAGTCAGTTACAAAACCAGAAAATACATGAGAGGATTCACACTGGAGAGAAACCGTACACATGTACTCAGTGTGGGAAGAGTTATGGACGATCAGCATCCCTTAATAATCACATGTTGATCCACACTGGAGTGAAAACACACAAATGTGATCAATGCGGTAAATCATTTTTGGCAGCTACACGGCTAAAGACTCATCTTAGATTTCATACAAAGGAGAAGCCTTATTTGTGTCCTGTGTGTGGAAAGAGGTTTGCACAGAATACATATTTAAGCGAACACCAGAAGACTCACACTGGTGTGAAAGAGTATATGTGCTTTGAGTGTGAGAAGACTTTTATTAGTGCTCAACATTTGAAAAGGCACCAGATGATTCACACTGGAGAGAAACCTTACAAGTGTTCACACTGCGACAAGGGATTCAATCAGTTAAAAATCCTGAAAAAACATAAGGATTCACACAAGAAAACAAGTACACATTTGATCAGTGTCTGAGGTGTTTATCTGTCGCACCTTAGCCCTTTAACTGCCCCACCAAGAAAAAAAAAATTGGATTGCAACTCCTAATGTGGCTAGTAAACACACTCAATGTATTTTTTTCAATACATCCCATAACTTCTAAAATATCAGCTTCTACCAAATGGTTGATATGTCAGTTTATGGTTAAAGTACCGGAATTGATACATATACTATGAAAAATTTGAAAATATGAAGTCTAAGACCAATTTATTTTTAAAAATATAAAAAATAAAACATTTTTGAATTCTAAATATCTTTATTTTTTTATGTATAGCATAAAAATATTTCAGATTTTTATTTAACACAGCAGTTTACACGTTTTCTTTTTTTTTTTTATATAAAATCAAAATCAAGTGTAGTAGTGCAACAGGATGTTTGATGATTTTTATTTTTTATTTATTTGTAAACCAACAATACTGTGTGTGTAAACCATTATTTCAAACAGCCATTCTTTTAAACAACAGCAAAAACATGGTCAACCATCTGGTAGAACGGCAGTCAAAGGGTTAAATGATACGATGGCCGAGACAGCTTAAGAAAGCACATGCAATTACACAAAACACCAGCAAATAAAGAAACAGTCTTTATCAATTTGACCACACGCATGTTGCAAGTTAGTCACAACAGAAACAACTGAAGAAACTCGCTGCAAATTGGTCACAGCACTTGCAAATATCCACATAACTCAAAGACAATGTTTCTAGGGGACCTAAAAACATGACAGACCCTGCTGAGATATGGATCTTATGTTGTGTAATCAGGATATTAAAATAAACTAAAAACAACTCTCATTTCAAAACCCACCCATCACTTTGCTGAGCAACAGTCACTGTGTCATGACACAGGCAGCATAATAACACATCCATATCTTAGCAGGGTCCATCATGGTCCGGCTAGCCATCGTGAAAGGACGCATGAAAATCAGTGGATTTATAAAAAGTGAATTCTTGTGTCTTTCTGCAGGACTCAGGAGTCCTGGATTCATTTTGTGCCAGCTTTGTTTGTACAGTAAAGCGTCAGGTCAGTTTGTGTGTAACCCCTATCATAAAGCTGGGATATTATATTTCCACTAGATGGCGCTTGTGTACTGTAAACTCATAGATATTTACACTAGATGTCGCCTAACCTGTTGTTATCTATTGAAAGGAATGCGTCAATAGAGCTGCCATTTTAGTACAGGGTTTAATACAGCCATTTAATACAGCGCTCCTTTGAATTGAATGTGCCAATGTGACCAAGGTGCAGTGGACTGTGGCCATCCAGAGCCAGAGATATACAAATATATATTTATGATCTGGAGTGTCCCGGTGGTCAGTATGCTAAGATTTTTTTCTACATCAATGGATAAGTGACCGCACGGGCATTGCCGACAAAGAGCACGTGTTTGTGTGCATGGACATGTATTACCTCCCTCCCTGTTAAATTTGATCTAATCCATGTCCTGAAACACACAGTCACACACCCTCTCCAGCTATTACTTCTCATTCTAATGGAGGGAGCGATTCATTTGTTAATGCATCTCCGTTATGAACGACTCGTTCACTTAGCCGACAACAACAATAATAATACAGTTTCTGCCAGTGCAGTGTCTTGTTGTCATATTTTATTTACATTGTTTGCTTATTTTATTCAACAAAACTAGCATAAGCCTGGTATTTAGTGCGAGTTTGTGCTACTTTGCCTTTTGGTGAATGCAGTAAGAGACTGTATTATCATCAGTAACAGTGCTTTGTGAACCCAAAAGTTCGTAACATACAAAAACGTAGAAAACGAAATCTCCCCTATGAATTGTTCTGCCTTCATGCTTTGTTTTTTGTTTGCTCGTTGTTACACATGTAAACAGCGCTAATGTCCAGCATCTTCACATTGGCACACTGCCTTGACTAGTGCAGTTGAATGACATTTGTGCTGGGAGCACTGTACAAATGTGGCGGCGCTATTGACGCATGTTCAGGGTCCGTATGTATATCTAGTGTATATATCTATGAAACTTGTTTACTTCATTAACTGTGATGAGTTTAATCTGTATCATTTTTGATGATTTTATTATGCTTATTTGACTTATTTACTGATCTATGGTTTATTTGAGAAATGAGTTATTCTTTCTAAAGATTTTTTGACATTTTAATTTCATTCCCATTTTGCCTAGAAAAATATTACTTCCGGGTTGGTCGCTCGCATGAAAATGAAACAGGGAAGTAACAGCAAGATTTAGGGAGGTTTCTTTTGTGAGTTTAAGTCATCCAGCCAAGAAATCTAAGGATTTCCCAATCCTCTCTTAGTTTACAAGCAGGCAGTGTTGCCAACTATTTTCAATTAAAAAGCGATAAGCTCTGCTCAAAAAGTCGTTAGATTATATCATACGTCAATTTGCATATTACTGACATCATCACGTCCAGCAGTTTTGTTTAGCAGCATATGGTTAATATCGGGTTATCCATATTTGCACTAGGCTTTATATATGCATGTCAGTTTAATTAAATGTATTGTTTGAATACAGAATATCAGTATAGATGTAAAATGAATTTGCAGTAATCTCCCAGACATAATTAACTCACGCAAGCTCCAACAATGTCACTAAAATTTTCTCTGATTGTGAACAAGAAAAGAATAAACGGCCAAATTTAATTGTTTAATTTAAAATGATGGAGAAGCAGATCAGTTTTACTGTATCGATACAAGGAAAATACCTCACGCTCATGGTGTTAAACCATTTGCCGTTGGTACACAGAGGGGTGATCTGCTGTCAGGCTGCATGTGGGAGAGATTGACTGCTGTATACAAGGGCTGGGCTGCCTTTTGGCCTGTTTCCAATGAGTGGTATGGTACAGTTCGGTCTGCCTTTATGGCCATTTCCACTGTCAAAAGGCGTACCGAACTGTACTGTACCGTACCACATTTTCGTCACCCTTTGCAAAGGGTACCAAGCAGGCCTAAGGGTACCATAAGGCGGAGCAAGACGCGCAGCTGAATGCTACTGGTTAACAGAGATACACACACAGAAGCAGTAGAATTTAAACAAAAGAACTGCCATGTTTTAAATACACAGAGAGACATTACACCGTAGTAATATATACATATAATCGGTCGACCCGAGCTCAAACAAACCTTGTTATCTTGATGAACAGCAACAAAGCCAAGAAGAACAGCAGATTCTACCCTGTGCCATGTAGTTTTTTATGAGCCAGTCTAAATCGGGAGCGGTTTAGCTTTCTCGCTTGTTCTTACAGAGCATCTATATTTGAAATAACAAACCTCTTGAGCTGATAATAACGTGTGCATGACCAATGAAATGCTTCCGACATCAACATCTTATCAGAAAAGAATGACGTTGACTGAAACTTTGTCAAACACCACGCCCACCAAAAGGGAACCTTGGTACCCTTTAGGTAGTGGAAACGCAAGCTTGATAAAGGTGACCCATACTAACCCGTACCGTACTGTACCAGTCAGTGGAAATGGGCCATTAGAGTGTTCTGAGGCGAGGGAGGGGCGTACGGCATCACCCCCAGTTCCTTAGAAATGATACAATACGGAGACACAAGAGTCTATAAAAATCTCCAGCAACACCAAAAAAAAAAAAAACTGGCTAGATTTGTCGCTAGTTGCTTTTTTGAAAAAATGTCACTAAGGGGATCTGAAAAGTCTCTAAATGTAGCCACAAAGTAGCTAAGTTGGCAACACTGCAAGCAGGCAAAGTGCTATGTGAATGTATTGTTGTTTATTAATGCCTTTAAAGGTTGTTTGTTTAATTCTCATGTATATGAATGTGTCTGATGATGTTATTTTTCTCCCCATAGATATTTGTTACTTTTCTCCCCATAGACTTCCATTCATACGCACGCGAACTCATCAGACCAGAAACGCAAGCTCGTGTGGCAAGTTTCGCAATTCGCTGCGTTGCAAAGTTCAATCTTGGTGAACTCTGACCAGCAAAATCACATGATGTGACTGTGTGAGACCTATCGAACATCAAAGCATGACCTTTCTGGACAGAAATTTAACATATGGATCAATTGCTTGCTTTTTTAAATGTCTAATCATCTTGTTTAATCCCGCCCCTTTTCACAGCGGCGTACGACGTGTGACAGCAGCATGATTCAGTTCTCTAGTGTTGATATCGGCATCTGTGTCGATAAGTGCATTAAACAGCTATAAAAAGGTACCCCAGCCTTCGCCTTGTGACTTAGGGCGGCATATTGTTTTTTTTTTTACCCGACATCAGCTTTATTTTGTTTGAAGCCGCGGTCACACTTCACTTTCACTCCCCTTAGACTTCCATTCATACGCATGTACATAAATGACTGGAATTGCAGGCTTGTGCAACAAGACCAATCGATGATCAAAACATGAGCTCTCTGGACAGAGATTTAAAATATGGAGAAATCGCTCACTTTTTTAAATGTTAAAAATGCGGTGCTGCAAAAAGGGGAGGGATTTAACAAGATGATGCTGAAGAGCGATTGGCCCATGTTTTAAATTTCTGTACAGAGAGGTCATGTTTTGATCTTCAATTAGTTTTATGCAGTCATGTGACGCGATTTCGCAGGTCAGAGTTCACCAAGCTTAAACTCTGCAACACAGCGAACTGTGAAACCTGTTGCACAAGCTTGCTTTTTCAGTCTGTCGCATTTGTTTGCGTATGAGTGGAAGTCTATGGGGAGAAAAAGTGCACAATAACCTTGGCTTAAGTGTGTTGAAGGGATTCTAAGGGTTGGAACTAAACTGTGCAGGGTTGTGCAGTTCCTGGGAACTGCGTTTTACATCCTGGGCTTAAAGCCGCGGTCACATTAGAGTTTGAGCATGCAACATTCTGCTGTATGGCGCTGCGAAAAGAGGGGGGATTAAACAAGATGATTAGAGATTAAAAAAGCGAGCGATTACTCCATATTTAATATTTCTGTCCAGAGAGTTCATGTTTTGATCTTTGATTGGTCTCACACAGTCACATGATGTGATTTCGCAGGTCAGAGTTCACCAAGCTTGAACTTTGCACTGCAGCGAACTGCGAAACTTGCTGCAAAAGCTTGCGTTTCCAGTCTGACAGATTCGCGTGCATACAGGTATGAATGGAAGTCTATGGGGAG